GTAGCCAGTATTGTAAAACGTACGCGAGCACACGGCAGATGCACACACAAAGCACCAGTTTCTGAGCAGCTGAGCGACAGCGCCAGCGCCATCGGCTATGAATGGACAAACCGGTGAGGTGGTCGCAAAAAATGCGCCGTGTGGCGGGTTCAAATGGCACTAATACCAGCAATACGTCTGCGTAAAAATTTCAATTGCAGAGCGTTCGAGCGTATGAGCGGAGAGTAATTCAGATTGTACTCGAACACGTAATCGAAACAAAGGTAGCTAGTACAAAGCCAGAAAAGCAGACCGGTAGGAATGCGCAAGCATTTTGTGGCCGGCTGCTACTGACGTGGGCACCAGAGAAGACATTAGCTAGAGGCAAAACCTCCATCTCGTCAGTAGACATCTCTACGATCTTAGGGCCGCGATCCAGGACCAAAAACAATGATCACCTTCTCGATTTATCCTGCTATAAATGACTGTACAGCAGTCCAATCACTACCAGTGGAAGAGGAAGTACTTCAGCAGCCTCGCGAGACTCGCATTACTCTGGCGCACTTAAGGTCGGGATATTGAAGTAAGTGAACTCCATCTTATCCAGACCAGCTTCCGACATACCCAAACGTACATAGTATGTCCTACATGTGAAGGTTTCCCGCATGACACTATCTTCACATGCCGACTTAAACCCACTCAACTAACATCTCTCTCCCTTTGGTCCGATTCCTTCAAAGCAGCACATTTCCTGGGCCTACCGTTAGCTGAGCTTGACGGCAACGATTTAAATATTAGCTTATTTAGGATGGTAATGGGCGCTTAATGCTAAAAAATCATAGGCGTTCTCACATTTCCTATCTTTGTAGATTTTTAGGTTCATAACTGCCGTCCCTAAATTGGAGCGCTAAGCGTTGCGTTTTCCATTGTCAACGAGTGTCAGCGCGCGTTATCTCCAAATCAACGCGGCGTAGTTTTTGAGGTTTCTCAGGTCCTCTCGTTTCCCCTTTCACTTGTTTGTCCTTTCTCTTTCTTTCCGTCTTCTGCATCCAACTTCAACACGAAACGCGCTGTCAAAAATGAAAATTCCATTTGCTCGGCGTTAGCGCCGCATTAGCGCCGCGCTATTGTGGGATTGTATGGAACAAATTGTATGGACATGAGGATTTTTGACAGTTGATTGGCGCTTGACGCGCCAATTTAGGGATGGCAGTAACAGAATATATTTCATGGACAGGAATACCGAACATCCTCTTCATGTGATAGTTTTCATTGAAATAAAATACATGATTCAGACACACTTCCACGTTTTTTTTTTGTTTTTGTTTAACATAAGTTTTTAAGTATATAAATTTAAATTCGCGATGAAATTAGAGAAGAGTTCTATATACAAATGGTCTCCTGAATTGGCGACAACCTGTTTAGGTTTATAAATCTGTGTTCATATGGAAAAGTAGCTTATGTCGAAAGGCTGGCTTTA